AGACACCTGGAAGTTGATCTTTCAAGTCGTCACATCTTTAAATGGTGTCTTTTCCATGTTAAGGTAATTTCAAACTTTTTTCATACCACCACTGGAGGGGGCTTTTTTCTACAACTGTTTTGTGATCACTTAATCTTGTCAGTCAGTTAGTAATTATGTCCATTTTGACTAAAATTAACAAAAATTGTAGAAAAATGCAAAAAGTTGTAAAATTTTGTGCCACAAATATTGGGAGGATGATCCCCAAAAGGTCGCACATCCTGGTATGTCTGGGGGTATAGATTCACTATCAAAGTGAGTTTCTCAACTATTTCTTTCTATAATGCAAGTAGTTGTCATTGTTCAAAGTTCAAAAACAGTTGAAAATATTGGACAATAATACCCCAGAAAATGCCAGGATGTGTGACCTTTAGGGGTCATGCATAAGTTTTTAGAGCTATTGAGTTTGACCATCTTGGCAATCATCGAAAATTTCAACCACATTGAAGTGTTTTAGAATACAAAATAACATTAAATTTTTGAATTTTCAGTGTAGAAATTCATTATTATAAAAATGCTTTGTCAGAAAATCAACATTTCCATAGAAACACAATTACTTGTGATGTTTCTTGGCCGAACTCACTGACAATTCTTCTTCCTATTGAGCATCCCTATCTTAGTGACTTTCAGATCGAATATTTCCAACAGAATTGTTGTTCCCAGATGACCCTCTATCTTACTGACAATTCTTGATGTCTTTTTAGCATCCCTATCTTGGTGATCATTTAGATGGAATATTTCCACCAGCATTGCTGTTTCTTGATGACTATCAGGTAAATTGTAGAAACCATATTCCTGTTCAAAATGTGTTTAAAATATTCCTGAACTACCATATTTGTTGTATTAGAAGTGCATGCAATAAATGACCTGTTATGAACAAGTGTGATGGGTATGAGTTTGTTGTAACCAAAATAATTTTGGGCTTTGCCCTCATTCGGGGTGCATTGCTAATAGAGCAAATATGGTACTTTTGCCTCTGATGTTTTTTTAATCACCAGGGGGCTTTTTGTACACACATCAGGCAGCATGAGGGGTGGGATCTCAAGGTACAGGTGACATAGATGAAAAACTACAAGCTTAATTTATTGATTGTTTAAATAATTTCATTTTCTTTATTTAATTACATGTGTTAATTAATGATTTTCTGATTTTGCATTTTTTTAGATTGAAAATAAAATTCTTGGGATACAGTGTTTACATCATATCATTAATAATGTGGTAAGTATAATTAAACAGCACCTGATTAATTCATATACACTGTATTAATCCAACAGGTCCTAATTCATGGTCTATACAATTTTATGCATTTCCCTTGGCAACCAAAGATGCGGTTTCATTAGCTCTATACTGATTGGTTCCTTACTGCTTCTGCTAATGACTGGTGTGAAATGTGACAAACTATTACATCATATGAATTCATGCAGTGTTTCATATACAGAGAAACACTCCTCACTGCGTATTACTTCATATTACAAGATTTTTCAGAATGTTACCCACCCTTACTTTTATCTGCCCTTGACATGTTAGTACATCTAGTGTGAAGCTTATTTGTTGGCAGTGGATTCCAATTTACTCCAACTTTAAAAATTAGCTTCACTCTACAAACACTTTGATGCATTTATTGTTGTAATCCACTACAGCTATTCTACCATCATTACACACTGCTACACCATGGGGCCAACTCAGTCCATCCTTGTCACTATCAATCCTGCAAATAAACTGACCATTGCTGTCATGCTTAGTGACTTTATGATTACTGCTTACATATACATAATCATTCCGATCTACAGCCACTCCTATGGGACATCTCATTGTACTGTCACCAGTGGAAGAGAATTCAAACATAAACTGGTCATCAGAATTGAATACCTGAATACGGTGGTTTAAATAATCTGGCACATATACCATCCCTTTACTGTTAATAGCTAACAAGTAAGGTGAATTGAACTTTCCTTGCATATTTCCACTTTTCCCAAATGACTTAATATACACACGACTCTGGGTATACTTTCTAATACAATCCTTACTCGACTCACTCACATACACATTCTTAGTAACAGGATTAATTGCAATTCCACATGGTTCATCAATTTGAGAGCTTCTAAACTTTCTAATCAACTTTCCGTATTCATCACTTACAACTACTTGTTTGTTATTTACATCTGTCATAAAGTATTCATTATCATCTGATATTGCTACATCACATGGTGTGAATGTCTTTGCAAACTGACCAGTGAATGTAAATGATTGTTTGTAATTTCCATCTCTGTCATGCATAGTCACTCTATTGTTACTGATATCAGCTGTGACAAAGTCACCATGTTTATTTATGGTTATTCCCACAGGATCGCTGAGCTGTCCTGCACTTCCTGCTTTTCCCACTGTCTGTACTAATCCTCTGATAAGAGGAATATGGAATGGTGATCCTGGTATATGTTCGTTACCAATCGTCATGGCAACTTGCTGTTTTCGTTCTGTTTTTCCTGTTATCATCACATGATATGTCCCATTGTTATTGTCTGTAATGTCAATGTTTTCCCATGATGCACCAGGGGTCTTTGTTTTCACTTGGATATTTTGACGGGGAATGATTTGTTTTCCTCTGGAATCTCTGGTTGTGATGAGCAGTTTGACAGGTACACCTTTCACAAGTTGTTTTGGAATGTTTTCAACTGTACTTTTGGATGGACAGACATCACATTTGATCACTCCTATCAATGCATGTGCAGCAAAGTCACTACTGGGCTGGAACTCAATGATATCATGACTGATTGGTGGTATTGTTTCCATAGCAACCATCTCTTTTATGCGCTTTGTAGTTTCCGGCTTGGTCGATAGTAAGTGTACAGCATTCCCATGATGCACCAGTGTTTCTAGATAATGATGTGTGCTGACTATGTTGCCATGGTGAAATTCCCAATCATTGATATTCATTGTTGCATCTTTCAGGTCCATCCTAGCACTTTCATCCAAGGCATCTATCAGCATCTTTTCTTCTCTCTTTACTCTCTCCATCACTTCCTTTGTCCTTCTCTTAACTTTCTCTTTCTCTGCCTCACACTGCTTTCTGATTTCTTCTCTTGTAGATTCAGCTGCTACTTTTTCTTCTTTCACTTGCTTCTCTTTCACTTTTAACTGTCCTAACATTTCCTTCAGTTGTGTTTTATACTCATCTGCTACCTCCTGTAAATCTCTATGTACGTGTTCAGGAACTCTATGTTTAACTATGGTGCAGTCACTGCATACAGGTATTTGACAAGTGTCACAGTAAAATTTCAGCTGGCTGTCTTTATGGACACTGCAGAAAACTTTGGACTGTACCTTTAGATGACCCCTAGATTGTATCTCTCTGTACTTGTCAATTGTAAGCACTTCATGAGAACGGAGTGCTGGAATGCGTTCATGGACAGTAACACATACATCACAGCAAAACTGAGGACAATCTACACACCTGTGAGTTGCTGTCACTTGACATGTTTCGCACACTGGTGGATGGTCAGTACTCGGCTGTCTCTGTTTCTGGAATGTGTCAAGTAGGCTTGTTAAAAAGAAATTAGACTTCAGTTCCTGGATGGGTGTGTCACACTGAATTCTACATGTTGCACACTTCAAAACACCCCCAGATTTATCCTTAAAAGTTACCAAACATTGCTGACAGAATGTATGAAGACATGGTAGAACTTTAGGATTCTTGTAGATCTCCAAACAGATGGAACAGCTGAGGAAATCCTCAGTAACTTCGTCTAGGAGAGACTTGTTGGGTACAGCCATAGCCATTATAGTAACGTTGGTTGTATTGATTTTACTCCCTAGCATAGTGAAAATTCACAATATGTATTTTCCTCATTATTGGTATTCACAATAGCTGCATGGGTTCAATGCTTTTCAAATCACTGTCAACTTAAGGGGTCTTCTGTATACTCTTGGATTTATGTCAAACCCTCGGTGTCATGTGACTATGTTTACACAGACTTTTTATTCTTGCAGATCTCCAAATAGAACAGCCTAGGAAATCGTCATTAATTTCATCTGGGAGGGAAATGTTGAATGCAGCCATATTAAATGGCTGGAGTAATTGTAGTACTCTCTAGGGAAGCGAAAATCAACAATATAATATATGCATTTCCTTATTGCTGTTTACAATGGCTGCATGACAAGCTGGTTTTACTGCTTTTCAAATCATTGTCAGCCTAAGGGGTCTTTTGTATACATACAAGTGTATTCAACCTTTGGATTTATGCCAAACACAAGATACTTATCACATAACTTTGTTAAAGCTGACCTTTGACCCTGTTTGACCCTGTTTGACCCACATTTAAGTCGTTTACAGGTATTTCAACTTATTGGATATGATGGACATTTTATCACAATATTTTGTTTTAAAAGTGCTGTTTAATTATAGATTTGGATGCATGTCATTTTGGTGTGTTTACCCGGTATTAATCATGGTTTTTGAGAGAATAGTGTAAAATCATTCTTCTATGAAAAATAAATAGTATTCCCCAGAATATCCTAAAAACTCATTACAATCATAATTATTTTATTTATAACAAGATATATTTTTCACTATATGTCTCCAAATGATATTTTCTGATAGTTGACAAGATATTTTCCCCCATAGTAACCAATGTTAAATGGCTCAAATATATGTTTTTAGCATTTTTTT